GAGAGGAAGAGGACGAGACCGTGAGGGAGACAGACAGATACGGGCAAGACAGAGAGGGAGCCGGGGAGAGAATGAGATAGAGACTCAGGGAAGGGACTGAATCTAAGAGAAAACCATTTGGACAGAAACAGAAGGATTGGGAGAGAAAGTGATATGGGTGTGTGTAAGTGTGTGTGTGTGTGAGAGAGAGAGAGACTGAAAGACACAGAGATTAGAGAGAGACAGAAGGTGAGTCTGGTGACAGAGACAGTCGAAAAGAAAGGGAGAGAACGAGAGGAAGACAGACCACAAGAGAGGAGAGACAAAGACAGAAAGAGTGAGCGGATAAGTGAGACTGAGGCCGAAGGAGGCAGCACCTGAGGAGGAGGAGGGGGGCTGTGGCTGGGAGCCCCAGCACCGCCCTCTTGCCCCCTGTCCTTGGGACCCCAGAGCTGGTGAGTTCCCTGGCTGGGCTGGGAGGGGCTGCCTAGGTGTGCATTCCTGGTGTTCCCAGGGCTTTGCAGGGATGGTTTGGGGGTGTGTATGGGAGGGCGGGAGACAGGTAGCTGGTGGCAGCTGGAAAAAGGCAGGGAATGGGGGTTTTCTAAGCACAGAGAGGGGCAAATTCCTGGTCGGAGCACAGGGGGCAAGAATAAAGGAGCCCCTATTCTCTGTCTTGGGCTGCAGACAGCTGCCCCCCTCCTCCCCGCAGCTGCCAGGGCCGCCCACCTCTCTTGGCATCGCTGTTGGTATGCCGTCCCGGGCCAGTGCCTCCCCAGCCCCCCAGTCTCCAAACAACAGGCTCTTTCTCCTCGGCCTCCTCTGACCTGGGAGTCCCTGACCCCGTCTCTGTCCCCAGCGGGTCAGCTGCAGAGACACGCACACACGGGCCCTTTCTTTCTCTTCCCGAGCCCTGGATGGAGGAGGGCAGGCCTCGGAGCAGCCTCAGCCTGGCCAGCAGCGCCTCTACCGTCTCCTCTCTTGGCAGCCTGAGCACCAAGGTCGGAGCTTCTCGGTGGGGCTGGGGAGGAGGAGGGCAGGGCTCTGGGCGGCCCCATCCTACTGTTTCCTAGCTTTGGGTTCGCCCCGCCCCCCCTTGCCCCCGGGGACTCCGGTTGTTAAGAACAACGGGGTCTGCCAGACCTAGCTAGGTCCCAAGTTGCCCACTAGCCGCAGTTAGGAATTCCGAGGCACTTATAGCTGTCCCCACCCCTCGTACTTTCCTGATTCCCAGCCAGAGTAACAACCCCACTTGACTCTGGTTGCTAAGGCCACTCCCCCCAGGAACTCAGAAGCAGTGGGTACTCTTGATTAGGATGGAGATCTCCCCATCTGGTCTCTAGCCATCCAATCTACCCGGTTCTGAAATGCAGCAAAGAAAGACCTTTCTCTGACAATAAGGCCCCACGAGGCCCGAGATACTTGCATTCCAGATCGTCACCCCGGCCCTGAGTTCAGTGACGACACTCATTTCCTTGTCCTCGTGCCATTCCCCTCAGTCATTTCCAGTTTCCCAAGTTCAGTCAGAATCCATAGATTCCAACCTGACCTTGGTCACACCATCCCCAAGGGCATCCTGTGGGAACGTGGCTGTGGATGCCTGCGACGCCTGTGTATACAGGAGAGGGAACTCCGTCTCTTGGGATGGAGGGATTTGGAGCCCCCCTCTACTCAAGACATGGTTGCGGAGGGATGTCATTTTCTGGCACCAAAGCATCCTTTGATTCTGTCTGACCCATTGCCAGAGACTCTACATGGAGGTCTCTCCTGATTATTTCCACTTCAGATCCCAAAGGTCACATTACATTCGTGGCTCTGGTGGCCAAGGGCATCCTCTCCTTGTCAGTGGACCCTTGATTCCCAAATTCCTCCCCTATCGGCCAGGAGCCTCTTCCTTGCCTCCAAACACTCCCTCCGAGCATAAAAAGTGTCCCTCAGTTCTGTATGTGCACAGCCAATACTGATCTCAAAGCTTAGCTCCTTCTTTGCCCTGGTTTCTACGGGCAGTCCGGTGATGGGGTCTCCTGCGTCCCACTGCCCCACCCGAGCCATCTGGAAGCCCTGTTCACTTCTGTCCTTCCCTCCTCAGAAGCCCGCCCGGGCAGTAAGCAAGGTGCACGCCTTTGGGAAGAGGGGCAATGCGCTCAGAAGGGACCCCAACCTCCCAGTTCACATCCGAGGCTGGCTGCATAAGCAGGTGGGCTGACGGGAGAAGGGGAAGGACACTGAGTGATGCTGGAGGCTTGTCCCTGGCTGTCCGCTGTTTCTCTCCTTCCGAGTCTCCAAAATTTCCTTTTTTGCTCTCGCTGCATCTCTCCTTATTCCTTCATTGTTTCATTTACTCATTCGCTCATTCCCCTTCTTGAACATGTACTTACAATGTGCCACACCCTGGGACACGTGCCAATACTACTAATAATAATCATCGCTGGTATGTATCGATAGTCCGTTCAAGATGAGGGTGGAGTGGGGGGTGAATAACAAACTAATATATAAATAAATTGGATAAATGAAATAATATAATGGATATATAATATAAAGACAAAATACATGAAATAAAAGATTTCGGATGGTAGGAAGTGTGAAATGAAGGGCTGTGAAGAAGTAAGACTGGAGGGGGGAGGGTGCTCAAAAGTGGCAGTGGGGGAGAGCTGCCCTTGACCGGTGGTCAGGAAAGGCTTCTCTGAGCAGATAACATCTGAGCCGAGAACTAAATGACAAGAAGAAGCCCATGATGCTGAAATCTGGGGGCAGCGGGCCTCCGAAGGCTCTGCAGCAGGCCATAGCTTGGTCTTTGGAGCAAACAAGGGGAGAGATGGAAGAAAGTGTGACCCCAGACGAGCAGTGCCAGCATCCCCTGAGAACTCGCTAGACAGGCAAACTGTCAGGCCCCAACCCAGACCTACTGACTTCAGAACTCTGGGGAGGGGACCCAGGAACCTGGTTTTAACAAGCCCTCCTGGTGAGTCTTGTGCACGCCTGGTGCCCTGGGGTAAGGAATTTCCAACTTATTCTAAGTGTGAAGATAAGCTCTGTTTTGAGCAGGGGACTCACACGATCTGATTTATCATTTAAAAAGATCCTGCTGCTTCTGTGGGAACAGACTGAAGAGAGGAGGGGCACAAGGTCGGGGACGGTGTAGTTCTGGCAGAGGCGATGGGGGAGATGCAGGATTCGGGTTATGGCTCAGTGCCACGATCCTGGCCTCTCTGTGTCTCAGGCTCCAGAACTATGGGACCAAGTCGTCGTGTATACAGCCGGTGCCCAGTCTCTCGTTCGCAACTTCCCGTACCTTCTCAATCCGCAGTGGACAGATGAGGGGCCTAGTGGAGGGAGAAATGACTTGTTTAGGGCCAGTTTGAAAGCGGTGGAGCACTGTGTCCGGAATCTATGTCCTCTCAAGCACGACACACTGGCTTCCAGCTCTTCAACTGAATCCGTGGCATCAGACGTGTCTCTGTTCCTCCCCTCTCGCTAGGTCTCTGTCCCCAAACTCCAGAGCATCACGTTTTCCATCTCCTTTCCTCCTTCTCCTCTACTCAGGCCTCTTCTCCCACTCTCTCTCCCCCCAGGACAGTGCTGGGCTCCGGCTCTGGAAACGCCGCTGGTTCGTCCTCTCCGGCCATTGCCTCTTCTATTACAAGGGTCAGTGCCCCAGCTGGCGTGGGGGGGGGGCGGCCCCCTACCTTTTTCTTCTAGCCTCTCGGCCTTTAGATCCCCGTGTGATCCCTGACCCCAGCCCCTCTTTTGCAGACAGCCGCGAGGAGAGCGTCCTGGGTAGCGTTCTGCTCCCCAGCTATAGTATCAGGCCAGATGGGCCAGGGGTCCCCCGAGGGCGGCGCTTCACCTTCACCGTGAGTCCGTCCATCCCCTGTGGGTACCGGGAGATGGGGACAGGCATTGGAGCATCCATTATTGGAGATAAAATATATTGGCCAGGTTCGACAGCATCTTCCTTTTTGGAAGGCAGGGGTGTCCGGGTCCCCAGCTCTGTCTCCCCGTAGGCGGAGCACCCAGGCATGAGGACCTATGTTCTGGCTGCCGACACGCTAGAGGACCTGCGGGGCTGGCTACGTGCGTTGGGCCAGGCCTCCCGCGCAGAGGGGGATGACTGGTGAGTTACAGGTCATGCCCTTGACCCTGTACTTCCAACCTGGGTCAGTCTCATCTTCCCCTAGTACCTCTCCTTGAGGCCTTGCCCCTCAACGTCCAATCACTAGTCTTCTAGCAAAGGAGACTCCGCCCCCCCGACCACCATTGGAAGAACTTCAGCTCTTCCAATCAGAACAAAGTCTTTACCTCTAAGCCCCGCCCATCACTTTGTCCCGCCCCGCCATCAATATTCCACACTCTCTGATTGGCTCCCTCTGAAGTCTACACCCTCCCCTCCAAGTTGCCACCTAAACAATGTTGGATAAATTTAAAAAATACAAAACAAAACCAAAAAAAACTTCAGTTTGTTTCTGTCCCTGCTTGCTCCAGTTTTTAGGCTGGAGATTCATAGTCTGGGGCTTTGGGTTCAGTGACCTGGACAGACCTTGTGGCCCGGCACAAGTCACTTCCACACTCTAGCCTTAGTTTCCCCACTTGCAAAATGGGGACAGTGACTTATAATGCACCATCTCTCCTTTTGTTCTGTATAGGTCCCTTTGTCCTGATCTGTGAAATCAGAATAAGGGCTGTTACGAGGTTCAAAGAAGTGATGTTTTTTTTTTTTCTATGCCCACTCGATAGTGGGCGTCCCAGGTCACCTATACGTCCCCAGCCCGGGGAGGGTCCTGGCGGCCCCGGTGGTCCTCCAGAGGCAAGCAAAGGGGAAGAGGGGTGCACCTTAGAATCACCAGAAGTGGCTCGCCTTTCCAGAGGTCATGGCCGACCTGGGCTGCTCCCTCCCAGCCCCATGGCCGACCTCCAGTCTGGATCCCGGATTCAGAGGACCAGGAGTCCGGAGTGAGTTGGACCAGGGAATCTGGGATGAGAAAGTTCTCTTGAGCTTTAGGGGAAAGGCTGTGTTCGGGACAAGGCCCAAGGGAAGGGCTAGGACGGGGACTGATTAGGGGGCGTGGTTTAGTGTTTTCTTGCTAGAGTGTGACTTGCTGGGTTTCTTGTGGGGTCAGAGCCTGTCAGGAGATGCCACAAAGTGAGAGATTATTCAAGGTCTGGCCAAGAGGAGCGCTCTGCTCTTAGAGGAACAGTGAAACACACTGGGAGACCCGTCCTTGAGACCGACTCGGTGGGTAGTGGGTGAGGAGGCTCTAGTTGACCAAGTTCCCTGATTCTCTCTCCCCCGCCCACAGCCTGTTCACACCCCTCTCTCACCCTCCCTCCCCTCTGAGCCTCCCCCGGCCCCGTTCTGCTCCTGCACGCAGACCCCCTCCCTCCTCAGGTGACACAGCGTTCCCTGCCAGACCTCATACTCCCTTGAGTCGCATCGATGTGCGGCCTCCCCTGGATTGTGGTCCCCAGCGCCAGGCCCTCTCCCGGCCCCCCACTCCCCGCCGAGGACTCTCTTCCGAGGCTGTGGCAGGAAGACCCCCCAGAAGTCCCCAGAACTGGAATCAGGAGGCCAGAACACAGGTGAGGAGAGCGGTGATGGGGAGGGGGAACACATCTCCCTTATGGCCGTGGGGCGATCTTTTGGGCTGGTCTCTAGGTCATTGCCCCTGAGCATCATGGGGATTGTAGTTCAGCATAATCATAGCTGGGTTCAGATGTAAAAGGGAGAGTAGACTTTATCTCCCATCAATCCACAGGGTTGTCTTTTCAGGCTGGTCTCAGGCCATTACTCTTTAAGCATTATGGGGATTGTAGTCCAGAATACTCTCCAAGACAATGTTGGGAAAGAAAGTGTGAGTTGCGTTTGCCTTGTGTCTCCAGTTTATCCTTTCAAGTTGGTAACCTGCTATTTTCTCTGAGCATCATGGAATTGTAGCCTAGAATATCCACAGCTAACCACAAATGTGAGAGTAAGGACAGATTGAAACTTTGATCTGCCTCTGGGGCTGTTCTGCCAGGCTTGTCTATTTGTTACGATCCTCTGGGTCCCCATGGTGGCACCCAGCTGGAGAGCAGGTAGTCAAGGAAGTTGTGGGGGCCCAGTTCTGAACCTCGAAGAGTCTCTTAGGGCACTTCAGTTCTGGACACATGCACTTTAGTATTTGTCAGTAAGACATGCCAATTTCCAAACATCTCTATTTCAATATTCCTCCTAGGCCCCTTCTGGCTCCTCCACGTATCTCCAGCTCCCCCCAAGACCTCCTGGGACCCGGGCTTCCATGGTTTTATTGGTAAGTGTCCAGGGGTACCTGCAGCCTGCCGAGGTCCCCTCCCTTGCTTTCTTTGCTATGGTGAATGTCATCTCCTGGACCAGGGAACACTGGATGTTCCAAAGTCTTTGGGTCAGTGCTTTTATTAGCTTCCTAGGGCTGCCTCAAACCGGGTAGCATATATATGGAATATCTCTCCATTCATTCATATAATCTCCTAGATCTTTTGAGTTTTAATATTTTTCCGTAGAGATCTTGTGTGTTCTTAGCTAAGGTAACTCCTAAATTCCTGATAGTTTTTAGAGCTGTTTGAATAGCGACTTCTTTACAAATTATGTTTTCTAGTTATCGATGTGAACGTTTGTAGTAGCTTCATCTTGCACTCGGCATCCTTGCTGAATTTTCTGTTTCCTTTTTCTTATGCCATTGGTCAGGACCTCGGATACTGTGATGTAGAGTACCAGTGGTAGTGAACATACTTGTTTATTCTCAGTCATAGAGGATACGTTTCTATTTTCTCCATTATAACATTTGCTATAGTTATTTGGCGACACAAGCCATTATCTTCCTAAAGCCAAGAACCAGGCAATTGGTCTACTGAGGTTTGTAAAGCTTGGAGCGAAGCTCACGGGCGGCGGGTCTGTCAACAGAAACAGGGCTTGGCTCAGCACTGACATAAGAACCTGTCTGTCCACGTGACTCCTGGCTTTTCTCCTTCCCCTCAGCCAGGTCCCCCGCTGGACTCAACCTTCCACCAAAGCTTGGAGACAGATGTAAGTTCTCCCTGATCCAACCCCTGCTGAGTTCTCAGAGTTGGAAAGAGAATATTCTAGATGGTGGGGAGAGGGGAATAGAAAAGCAAGGGGAAGAGCCAGATCTGGCCCACAAATAGCTCCCGTTCTCCTTTATCCAGACTCTGTTGACCAAGTTGTGCGGGCAAGACAGGCTCCTGAAGAGGCTGCAGGAGGAGATAGACCAGAGGCAGGAGGAGAAGGTATAGGGCTCCGGGACCGGAAAGGGACACCTAACCTCTCTGCCTGCGGTTAGCCCTTCCGCATCCTCAGCACACCGGATGTGGGAGGACATCTTTTCTCTCTCCCTGGGGCTGGGCGTGGCTTTGGAAGATGAACCTTTTCTGCTCTGCGCAGGAGCAGCTAGAAGCAGCCCTGGAGTTGACCAGGCAGCAGCTGGGCCAAGCGACCCGGGAGGCCGCGGCACCTCCGAGGGCCTGGGGACGCCAGCGCCTTCTACAGGACCGACTGGTCAGTGTGAGGGCCACTCTTTGTCACCTGACCCAGGTGAGCGTCAGGAAAGGGGCGTGCCCTCCCCGGAGGCCCCAGGACTCTATAGTTTGTTAGTGAAGGGGACCTGACCCCCAGAATTCATGGGAAGGAGATTCTTAAGAACGGCCTCTGCCCCAAATTTTAAACCATTGGTCTTGACTGTCCTAGAGGGTGAACGGCTCAGAAGAGGCAGAACTTAATTTAGCTGTTTAAGAGGGTGATTTTGATACGGGATTCCTGGTTTCGAGTCTCAGCTCCCACGCGTATTAGCTGTGTGACCTTAGAAAAGTTATTTAACTCCTCTGGGCCTTAGATGCACCTTATGTCAATGCAAGATGGTAAACAGAATTTACTTCGTAGAGTCCTTGTGAACATTTCATAAATATACGTCAATGAAAGAAAGAATGAATAACTGTTTAGGATCTGGAAATGCTGAACAATATTTAAGTGTTAGCTATAGTTATTATTATCTGTGAAATGGAGACCTGAGTAGTCCCTACCTCCCAAGAATTCAATGAGTGCCGAGAACAGTGCCTAACACGTGTTAAGTACGTAATAATGTTAGCAGCTATCAGTGTTATTATTGGTATCGGCAAGGAGGTTCCTGCTGCCCAGGATGCGTGGAGTTGTGGTCTTAAGAATTCATTAAACGTGCCCTGGGCAGTGCAAAGGCAATCCGGAGATTTTAGAGAAAGCCGTTATTTCCCTACGCTAGCAGCTCATGGGAACAGCAGGTTCCGTACGGACTCTGGGGTTCCTCGTAGTCGGAGCGAAGAGGCCTGTGGGAGTTGTAGTCCGAGGACGGAGTGGGGACAGATCCGGTGGGTGGGCATGCTAACCCCGTGTCTCCCTTTCCGGGACCTGAGGAGCGAGAGCGGGTTTGGGGCACGTACAGCGGCCTGGAGCAGGAGCTGGGCACCTTGAGAGAGACCCTTGAGTACCTGCTGCACCTTGGGTCCCCCCAGGTACATCTTCGCCCCAAACCCAGAAGCCCCGCCCTTGACTCCAAGTTCACCCGGAAACCCTTTTGGTATTTAAGCTCCTCCCACAGAAACAAAGCCCCTCCTGCTTTATCATAAGCTCCTCCCCATCCTTTTCTTTCATTTTAAACCTCTTATTGTAGTTAACACCAAGCCTTTCACTTTAAGACCTACCTTTAGATTCTCCTCTCTGGTTTTAAATCTCTCCTCTTATTCTGAAGCCTTCCTCTCTGTCAGAACTCCACTCCTCAGCCCTGTCCCCATCCAGGAAGCTCACCTCTTACCTTCTGCACTCTGACTTTTGCTGTTAAATTTATCCTCTGGAGTTTCCAATTCTAAATCTGGTGTCTTAGTTCAAGCCCCACTGCTGCGGTGTGAGCCCCCTTGCATAGCCTCGGACCCCCTTCCTCATTCTAAGTCTCGCCATCACGTTTCTAAATCAATGGTTAGTTGAAAACAATTTCTAGGATTAAACATACACTCACAGATTTAAGCCCTGCTTTCTTTGTGCTAAACCCTCCTACTTCTTTCTAACATCCACCCCTCAACTCTAATTCCCCATCCGCGGCTGTTAAATATCACAGCCCTAGCAATACATGAAGAGAATATTACATCACGACCAAATCGGGTTTATTATAGGAATGCAAGGTTAGTTTAACACTTGAAAAATCAGTCCATGTATTTCACCACATTTAACAAAATAAAAGAGAAAAACCACATGATCATCTTAATAAATGCAGGGGGAAAAATGACAAAATTCAACATCTATCTATGATAAATGTACTCAGCGAAGTAGGAATAGAAGGGAAGTTCTTTAATCCGATAAAGGCATTTAAAAAAAATCTATAGCAAACATTGTAGTGGTCAGTGAAATATTGAATACTTTCCCCTGATATCAGGAACAAGACAAGGATGTCTGCTATTACCAGTTCAAGCCAACATTCTACCAGAGGTCCTAGGCAGTACAAGTAAGTCTGAGAAATAAATAAAAGGTGTAAGGACCAGAAAGGAAGAAGTAAAGCTGTTTTTATTTATACGTGACATGATATGTAAAATATCCAAAATAATCTTCAGATAAACTATTAGAATAAGCAAATTCAGCAAGGTCACTGAATGCAAGGTTAATACTTAAAAATCAATTGTCCTCCTATATGCGAGTACCTAGCGATTAGAAAATAAATATTATAAACAGTGGTGTTTGTAATTAACACAAGCGAGTTAAATGTCTAGGAAGAACTCACATGAGAGATATGCAAGGCACCTGCTCTGAAAGCCACAAAACATCATTAAGAGAAGGTAAACACCCATATGAATGGGGATATATACCATGTTCATGGATAGGAAAGATACACTAAGATGTAGTCTCCCCCTAATTGATGACTTCCCTCGTGGGGATCTGCAATCCCACTGAATATCCTGAAGGTTTTTATGTGGAGATTGACAATGGTATCTGCAAGTGCAAAAGGCCAAGAGTAGCCTGGACATCCTCCAAGAACAATGCTGGATGCCAAGCCTGATTGTACAGCGACAGCGTATAAGACAGCGTAGTATTGACATAGGTTTAGACACATGGACTGAAGGAATAGAACAGGGTATTCAGAAACAGACTCATATTTTTATACAGTCATCTATCATGACAGGAGTAATTGCAGAGCAGTACAGGAAAGATGGTGTTTGTGATAAATAGTGATAGGTCGATGGGATGTCCAGATGGAAATGGATGTTCACAAATACAGCCTCCATATGCACACATAGTGCATTCGTGACTCCCTAACTGTAGCCCACCTGATTTCGGACCCTGTCTGTGGCCTATGAACTTTAACCCTCCCTACATTTTCCCACCTTTGAGTAACAAATTTCTTTCTTTTTCCCAGGACAGAGCGTCTGCTCAGCAGCAGCTGTGGATGATGGAAGACACGCTGGCAGGTCTGGGGGCACCCCAGAAACCACCCCCCCACACTGAGCCTGACTCCCCATGCCCCACACTCCAAGGCGAGGAGTCCTCAGAGAGGGAGGTGAGACACACGCCTCTCTCCCCATCCCCCAGTTTCCTGTCCCATCTGCCCCTGGCCCAACTCATTACGCACTCACGTCTTTCCCTCTCCCGTGACCAGCTAACCAACTTCAGGCAAGTATCCTATGCTCCGGAAGCCTTCGTTTCCTTGTTTGTTATAAGCAGTCATCGTTTAGTGCTGTGCTAGAGCCAGCTCCCGTCACTTCCCGAGGGCCAGCTGCCTTCATCTCTTCCCAGGTCCACATTGACCACGGTGGGGTGTTTACACCACGGTAATTGGCAAATGCTACAAACCAGGGCTCTTTTCTCCCAGAGGTATTGGTTCAACATTTACCAGACACTTCTGGTCATAACCCCCACCTTGCAGGGCTCTATAAGAAGGAGAAAGGCTGACGAGGAAGCGCCCGGTGCTCAAGAAGCACGAGCCACTATTGTCATATCTGGGATGGTGCCACTGCTTGCTGTGACCTGCAGATCATGTATGCAGGAGACCTGGGTTCTGATCCCAGCTCTGCTCTCTTTATGACATCAGTCGTTGGCCTGATTCTCTGAGCCTCAGTTTCCCCATATGTAAAACAGTGATAATAATAGGTGTCTTGTAGATTTTGGGGAAATGTAATGACGGGGAAATGTAATGAGAAAATGCACTGTGTCAAATGCATAGTCACTACAAAAATCTCATATTTGCAATGCCTTTCCATGTGCCAGGCGCTGTTCAAAGGGCCTTACATGTATGGAGTCAATGCTCATATTAGAAGTTGAAATATGGCCCAGAGAGGTAAAGTGTCTTGCCCAAGGTCACACAGCTGAGAAACAGCAGGGCCGAGATTGGAAACCAGGTCCTCTGACTCCTGATTTTCAGTCTTAATCCTCGGCATGCTGCGTCTCATCATGCCTTGAAAGTGATATTGATGATGATAATGATCGTCATGAGTCCCCTTCTCCAACCCCTCCAGAGTCTGCCTGAATCCTTGGAACTGAGCTCAGCCCGGTGCCCCGAGGCTGACTGGGGGCGGCCCCCCGCGGGCGGCAGAGACCTCCCCAGCCCTCGCTCAGGTGAGCCTCTCGGGCGGGGCAGGGCTCACTTGGCATTCCAGGTCCTCACCAGGTCCCATTCTGTCCCAGGTCTTGGATCTCCGAGGGTCTCCCGGGCCTCCAGCCCTGAGGGTCACCTCCCCAGGTCCCCGCAGCCAGGAACCAAGGTAAGGTAGTCTGTCGACCCCTTCCGTTCCATCTTGGAAACCTTGGACCTGACCACCACTACCCACCCCCGCCACCCCTCATGGGGGAACAGCTGGGAGAGGGGAGTTGTAAGGCCACACCCCAGACTGGAGAGAATGTGGTTTGCTAAGGATCGAGTTTTGTCTCTGTCACTCCTAGGCTGTGTGACTTTGGGTCAGTGACTAAAGCTCTCTTTGCCTCTATTTTTTATCTGCAAAATGGAGCTAATAGCAGTGCCTACCACCTAGAGCTGACGTGAGGATTCAAATTAGGTTGGAAGTAGTGTCTGGATAGAGTAAGTACTGCATTCATTCATTCATTCATTCATTCATCAATTCATTCATTCAACAAAAACTGATTAAATATCGTCTTTACCATCCAAGAAGGTAGCCAGTAGCCACACACAGCTATCTAAGTGACTTAAAATGACATAAAATAAAAAGAATTTCACTTACTCCCTACTTTTCGAGTGCTCGGGAGCCACGTCACACAGCCACCCTGTTGGGCTGTATCTGCATAGCACATTTCCATCATCATAGGAAGTTCTGAGGCACAGAGCTGTGTGGACGCTGAGGTCACAAATGTGAACAAGATGAAAAAAATATGCTTCCCTTATGAATGTGGCATTCTAGTGGATGTCAAGGGCAGATAATGAGCAATCGCTTTACGTTATTTTATACATTCCAAGTGCGAAATAAAAATAGGACGGAGAGCGAGGAGGAGGGGGACGCTGGGGAAGGAGAGCGGTTGTAAATGGCTGGTCTGGGGAGGCCTCCTGGGGAGCGAGCCTGGGGGACATCTGGTGGAAGAGCATTCATTACAGGCAAAGGGAGCAGCCTCTGAGGCAGGAGTGGGCCTGGCATGTTGGCGGGGCAGCTAGAAAGCCAGTGGGAGTAAGCGAGCGATGGAGAGAGAGGTGGCTATGAGGACAGATGGATAATGGGGACAGATGATGCTGGGCCTTGTGGTCCACGGGGAGGACTTTGCTCTGGCTGCAATGGAGCTGGGAGCCAGAAGAGTTCAGAGCAGAGAAACCCAAAGTGGGAACGGGCGCCGTCTGGTGGTCATGTGGGGAATAGCCTGCGGGGCCAGGGCCGAGGCAAGGAGCCAGGGGACCGGGAGGGTGGGAGGAGGGCGGCGGGGCAGAGACGTTGAGAAGGAGTCGGAGTCTAGGTGTATCAGTCTTCAAACTTTATCCCAAACCCTTGGCACCAGATGTAATTGAAAGCGCAAAATTATGCAGATTCTAGACCAATACTATGGTGCATGTAGCGCATATTATGTAAAACCTCCAGCCGCGTCTGGCACCGCACCCTTAATCAAACACATTAAAATCTCTGCAATAAAATGTATGGATATTCGTACTAAATGGGATAAAAGCTATAAAAGACATCTCAATTTAAATGTCAAGGTTTTTTTTTTTTTTAATAATCACGAACTTCTAAATGAGTGAATCAGAGTGGAATAAGACTAGATTAGAAATATCAGGCACCTTTTATTTCTAAGGAAGAGGTTTAGCAAGACGTGTCACACAATCCAGGCACGAACGAAGCCAAATACCAGAATGTACACCTGCGGTAAATGCTCATAACTTCCAGTGACTTGAGGACTGTGGAGACAGAGGTTACCGGTCAAGTGATCAATGCTGTAGTCGAATTGAAATGGGACATCCGAGGCGGGGCCAGGACTGGGGTTCCCTGGGGATGAGGCACGAAGCCTTCGTAGAGTTTCGTGCTGTGTTATCTGCTCCTTCACAAAGGGTCTCATGTGGGGAGTGTCCCTTTCATCGAGCGAATACACGCTCTTGGCCACTGAGAAATACACGCTGTCAGCAGTGAAACTGATCACCTGTTTCAGTATTTCAGCCTTGGGGAGTTTTTCCCCTGTGTCCCCGATGTTAGCAACATGATCACTTTAGTGCTCTCGAATTTCTAATCTTTTTCCATCCCAGCGGTTGCTCTCTCTGCCAATAGATGCCCGACAGACAGGTTATTGCTGGTGTCTAGTAAGAGCGTCCTCTTGGACCCAGTCACCTCGGGCACAAATAAGAAAACTCGATCTCTTCTTATCAACGACGCCAAATCTGGTTTCTCGAGGACGTTGGGGAAAGCGGGTCCTTCGGTTTTCATCTGCAGAGTCAGAGCCTGGCCTGGGCTGGCATTAGCTTCTGCCCATTTATCAACCTCCTTCCGGGCACTGATGGCTGCAAATTGGCATCGCTAAGAGGTCTTGGATCTTGAGTTTCCTGCAGCCAGAGTACAATTAAAAAAAAAAAGAGGGGGTGGTGGTGATCTTTGTTCTTCGCGGAGATTCTGCTTCTGTGATTAGAAGCCGTGTGTGGAGATGACACGCTTGGCAGGAAGCAAATGTCCCCACACAATACCACCCTTCACGAGACCAGAAGGTTTCCAGAGTTTATTCAAGAACCCAAACGCGACAGTTTTCTTGTGGTCTAGCTTGTCTGCAACAATCTCATGCTGCTGATCACAAATCTGAACTTGTCCAAAAAGATTTTCCTGGGTCCCATGATTCTATTTTTTTTTTTTCAATCTTTTTTGAATTAAAATCATTGGGGTAACATGATTCGGTTTCTTGTTTGCATAATCATGCCCAAGTTATGGAAGATTGCAACATGTTCCAAACTGTGTCTTGTGTGTGCCCGTGGAGCTAGCACGTCCGCGGACAGACCACCCGAGCCTGGTATCCTTCGAGCCTGTCATTCATTGTCATTTCTCATCGCTGTCGATGTTTTTATAGGAGCATCACTGTGGAACTGGTTTATCTGTAGTATAGATTTTTATTTTAGAACTCAAGTTTTCATCAGGTCTTATCTTAGCAGACTCATCAGTGTAATTTCTGATTTGCAGATGCGCTGGCCACTGCAGATCATCAGATATTTTATATCACGTGCCTTTTCCATGTTGCCAGCCAATGATCACAATCAATGTTTAGGTCTCTGTGGAATGTTCTAGCTTGTTTCATGACCAAAAAAAGCCAGTCGGGGGCATCTAGTTACATCCTTGTCATGGTCCAGGTCTTTGTGTTTGGCCCTATGGAGCATTTCTGTGCTCGTCATCAGTTCCTGGTCATCGGCGTCCCTGTAAAACTTCCACGACATCTTTATGTTCATGTCACGTCACATTCGGGGGTTCCTCATGGGTCATACTCATTAGAGTGGATACGAACGAAAATCGGTCCTTTCTGAGGAAGACGCAGCCTTCTGCATTCTCGATGGCGTGTGTCCGTGGATTGTTGGGGCTACTCGCGAATTTCTCCGCCCTCACCCCAAACGCTTGGTTCCTGGGCTGCCGAGGGCCTGAGCTCAGGGGTGGTGCAAGTCCCAGGTGTGGCCGCGAGGTGGCAGTCGTACACACGGGCTGTGTTTGGTCCTCACTGTGCCGGGTTGGCCTGTGGGATAAGCCCCTCCCAGCGTGAGACCCTTCAGAGGTGACTGCGTGGGGGCCACTGCCCAGAGGTGGGGAGGGGGGAAGGGAGATAGGAGAAGGGGCTTAAAGGTCGAGGTGATGTCACTTAGCACCACAGAGGGGAGTCTCTGGGTTACAGAGCTGAGGACAGCAGCTGCTTGGGGTCCTTCATAGTTGACAGATGGATCCTGACTCATGGCTAGCAGATTTGGGGTACAACGTAGTGGAGCATTCAAAGCAGGCAGGCTCTACATGGCTAAAAATATCCACCTACTTGGATTATGTTTGAAACAAGTGGATGGATAAAAGTTTGAACTTGGCCCTGGCAGGCTTTCGGGCCAGTGGTTTGGCCCACTGTGAAGAAAGAAACGACAAAGGACCAATGAACAGCATCCACCATGCCTGTAGCAGGGGGACATGCGACTCGGGGTCAGAGCAAAACAGCGAACTGCAGTGGATCCAAGCTCTCTCTCTAGAATTTTCTGTTTGGAGACTGCACTGAAGCGTTCTCTTCCCTTCTTTTAAATTTTCAAAAAAATTTTTTTTGCTTAAACAACACGTTTATTGTCATAATTCTGTAGGCTAGCAGTCCGAAATCAAGGTGTCATGAGGCCATGTTCCTTCTGAAGGCATTAGGGACGATTCTGTGCCAAGTTTTGTCCCTCACCTCGCGGCAGCCTACGTCCATTTGTCACGTGGCATCTCCCCATGTGCGTGTCTGTGCGGGTGCGTCGGCCCGTTTCCTGCCCGCAGCATCCCGGATACCTGACGGCCTGTCTTCATTTAGTCCTGTCTCTGTCCCCTTTCGTTCAAGCTGGCGGTGTTTCTGCTGAGATGGTTTGCTGGATCCACGTGTCGCATGACTCATCCCGTGGCAAACGGGTTGTCCAGCCACACCCGTGGCATGCTCTGCAGGACACGCTTTCTCATTGGTCACAGTATGTGTAGGCTGAGAATTTTCCAAATCTTCAAGCTCTGGTTTCTTTTCGCTTTTCTTCGCTTTATCTCCGACCTCTTGCAGTTTAAGTTCTTAAGACTTTCGTCCACGATCACGGTGTCAACAGGCCACACTCCCTCCGAAGTCGCCAGAGAAGGATCTGGGACTCTCTCCTGTCTTCTGGTGCTTTCCTGACTTGTGGCCACATAACTCCAAACTGGCACACGACATTCTCCCTGCGCGCCTCTTCCCTCTGGCTTGAGGGCGAGACCGAGCTCATAAAGTCCTCTAAGGCCAACTCAAGCTTATCTTTTGGACAATTTAGTTATCAATAAATCCGTTTCCTCCGGTCGTTTTTTTTAAAGCCGACTTAAAGGTTGTTGTTTTTTAATCACAAGCATCCCAGCATCTTGTCTATTAGTGCGAAGAAGCTCGATATGTGCAGGGAATTATGGGTGTTTGTTAAGTTCAAATATAGGGCAGCTGATGGAGTGGAGGCCGGAGAGGTGGTTGGGGACCAGGCCTCTCGGGGCCACAAATGCCTTTGTCCCCATGGCTCGGGGACCGTGGGAGGGATGGCATCAGCTCTGGGTATGGGATGAGCCCTCTGAGCTCTGGAAGTGAACTTACTGGAAAGGGTCAGACGGGAGGCTAAGAGGCTCAGGGGAGAGAGAGCGCGGAGGTCAAGGTTGGGGTCTTGAGGGCTTTCTCACCTCCCTAGGCACCCCCGGCCCGGCCCCGCATGAGCGCTCAGGAACAGTTGGAAAGAATACGCAGAAACCAGGAGTGTGGACGGCCTCTCCCTCGCCCGGCTTCTCCTCGGCTCCTTACTCTGGGGAGGACACTGTCCCCAGCCAGACGCCAGCCTGATCCGGAGCAGAGGGTGAGGGGAGCAGAGGTGTGTGCTGTGGGTGTGATGGTAGTGGAGCCTCTGCTCCCAGTTTGAGCTTTAGCTTCCCTCTCTGTGAAATGCATCAGGATGTTCCCTGCCTTCTCACCTGGAACTAGGTTTCTGGACTCACCCCAGCTCGTACCTGTGCGGAAGTCAGCAGTATGCTGGTTCCCTCAGCAGTGCGGGCTTGGGGTAGGGCGGAGACAGCATCCCCCGCTCACCAGGCACCACGGGTCTGGATTGGAAGCGCAGCAGTCTGTTTTTTCAGTTACTGTGAGTTGTCAAAGGCAAAAAAAAAAAAAAAAATCGAGGAAGTAGGAAAATCGATTTTATTTACGCTATTGCAACGGGACGAGAGCTCCAGATTCAAAGATCAGAGTGTCTCACCGGGTGGTTTCATCTTAGACTTTTCTGGGGAGGAATCAGACAAGTCACTGGTGGGGCGACTTTAGGGTTAGGATTATTTTTGTGAGGGGGGCACCTCAGGTGAACACCAAACATTTATCTATGTCTAGCTAGTTTTGGGGGGACAAACAGTTCGGTTAATCGTTTATGAGGTAAAGAGTGAATTCGGGGGGTCCGTTTCTGGCCTTGTCATAGGTAAACAAAGGGGGGGCCTCAGTCTTAAGTCATACGGAGGAGAGGGGTTCTTGGCATTGTTGGGGTCTCTGGGGGCAATTTCACCCCTTTGAGCCCCTTTCGCACCATCCCCAGCACGTGGGGCTTCGGGGTAAGGAATACTAATGCCCCGATTCCTTTGCAGCCTGTCCTAGGGCACTCAGGAGCCCAGAAATGGCTCCGAAGCTCGGGGTCCTGGAGCAGGTGAGCAGCTGGAGGGGGACGAGGGCAGGAGCCGGGAAATCAATTTGCCAAAGAGGAGAGCATCCTCGTTATTACGGGCTCCCGAGTACCGGAGCCCAGATCGCAGAACCTTCCTGGGGCGCCAGAAAGCCCTAGATACCCAGTGAGGCCCTCGGGTTCCCGAAAACGCAAACCTGGGTGGGTCGCGAACTCCGCCAGAGCATCGGGAAATCGGGTGAAATTCACGAGAGACTGGACTACAAATCCCATAACGCACGCGGTCTCTTTAGGGCGGCTCCAGGTTTAAAGTCCTTTCGAGACACGAGCTAGGGACTCCAACTCCCAGAAGGACACGCGCGGCGCTGCGGTTGTCACCCGCACTGGCTAATCGTACGTGTCCCCCAAATCTTTTCTCTAGCCCGAGGAACACCGCCTCTTATTTGCCGACATCAGAAGGTCACCGGGAGCGAGTTCTCAGTCTCTCTCAAGCCCTGGCCACTGAGGCGTCACAGTGGCACCGGATGATGGCAGGTGAGGAGGGGCTGGGGACCTTGGGGTCCTCGGTTTTAGGGAGCCGGAGGTCTGGAATCATAGGTCCTGGCGAGGAGGGATGTCGGGGCAGCTTGGAACCCCCTTGTCTTGATGAGGAAAGAGCTGGGCAGGGCTTCGGAGTTATAGATTCCAGGCCAGAGGGGGGCGGGGGCCCCGGAATCCCGCATCCCAAAGTTCGCCATTCTCCAGGTGGAAATGTGGACTCGGAAGGAGACCCTCTTCCCCCTGCGCCACCTTCTCCGTCAGACCCCACGCCCCAGGTGACCTCGCCCCCCAAGTCCCCTGTGGCCAATTCCCGCTGCACCGGGTTCTCCCGCCGAGGCAGTGGGCGTGGCCCAGGCTCAGGCCCCGCCTCCTGGGAGCCCACGTGGGATTCCGGGACCGCCCCTTCCCCCCTGTCCCCAGACGAGGGCGCCTGGCCTCTGCGAGTCACCCTGCTGCAGTCCAGCTTCTGAGCGGCCCAAACGCGGCAGCCAATCGGAGCGCGAGGGCACAGCTCGGAGGTGCCACCTGAAGATCCGGAGCCACTCTGGCACCTGGGGGCGTGACCCGGTCCCCTGCCTGCCAAGGGGAGGGGATCCTATGGCCAAAGTTTGGTTTTCCAGGGACTTATCCAAATTCAGATTAAAACTTTGAACTTTTAGTTAATTAGCTTTGTCTGTCTATTTGGGGTTGTGACGCTGGGGTGTCCGAGGGACAGAGCTGGAGTCTGGAAGGGGCAGGGGCCTCGGCCTTGCAGGTCTGAAGAAGGACGGAGCCTGGGGTTTAGATTACTGGGTTTGAGGGGCGAGGGGTCTGGGACCCAACTTCCCGGGCCGGGCTTCCAGGATCCAGCCCCCCGTTTGTCGTTAGAGCCAGGCCTCAGCGGACCCTGCAGGTGGCCGGGAATGAGTGGCAGAGGGACAGACCGACCGACTGACGCGGGGTGGCTGCGGGATCGCGTTACGCGGGGAAGGAGGTCATTGTGACGGCGTGGGGTGGCGGGGCATCGGAGCCGGCATCGTGAGCCGAGGGGGGTCTTGGCTGGAATATCGGAGTCTGGGAGAGGAGGGACCCCGCGGTCTACCGAGTGTGGGCTGCAGCCCAGATTCCGGTCTTACACAATCCAGTTTGCGGTGCTAACGCAGGCGTGGGAGTGGAAGCCCTGAGCCCTGTGCTCTGGGTCTCAATTATAGTTGCAAAGCAGATAGTATGGGGAATATGTCTCTCGTAGGTTTAGGGTTTGCTCCGGAACCCAGAGATGGGGGTGCCACTCTCAGGAACCCCAGCCGGTACCTGGAAAAGCCAGGGAGAATATGTGTCGTGGCCTCTGCCCTTTGTCCTAGGGGATCATCATGAGAGGGGTCAGAGGGGAGCCGAGGGGGTGATGGGCCCCACGCCGACTGGCCACAAGAGGCCAGCAGAGGCCTTCATGGAGGCCTATGTTGGGGTAACCCGTTCTCAGTGAAGCGCTGAGTCTAAGTGATCAGTGCTCACCTCCAGCCCCGCCTCCCTCAGACCAGGAGTCGGGATCCCCAGCCCTTCTCTTCCCGCAGAGCTGGGGGGCCCCGCTCTGGAGCAGCAGCTTTCTGGAGCTGTCTTTCTCCTCTGTGACGTGACTCAGGAAAAAAGACAAAAAAGACGTGAGTGGCTTTTCTGTCCCCGCTCCCCATTTCCAGTAGTTTCTCTCCCCTCCCCCGGCTCTGTTGTCTTCCAGGTTTTCGCAGGGGCCCTTCCCTCTCCCCGTCTCTCTTCTCCGGGCTAAATCGTTTGGGTCCCAAAGGTTTCAGCTCAGTGTCATGTCCCCCGCTGCGAGGCTGTCCCTGGTTCTGCCGGCCGAGTCCAGTGTCTGGGCGGGTTCTTTTATCTCCCACGTTTTCAAGATCGCTGTGACAGCTGTCGCGTGGATGGGGACCGACGAGTCTCTCACAGCAAGTGTTTATTTTTTTTTTCCTGTAAGAGTTTTTTCTCTCCTGTCCCTTCTCTGTAGTCAGTATCTCTCCAATAGCTGGTCCCCTGGGCCTCTGTCCCCCTGACCCTGGGTCTCTGGAGCATTAACTGCAGTGCGACTCTGTCCAGCCCTCTGGGCTCTGTCACCTCTGGCTTCCTCTCTGCTCTTCTCCCGCCGTATGCGGGGTGATTGGGGGGAGGGCCCCACGTCCTGTAGCTTCTGTCCCCTGGGGTGTGACTCCAGCTTCCCCTGACCTGCCCTGCTTCAGGGAGCGGCAGCGGCAGCGGCACTAGGCTGGCTGCCAACACTCCCCGCTCACGAGACATCTCTCTCCGCTGTGTCATCCCGTCTCCCGGCCTCCCTCCCCCTCCTCCCCAACCTGTTTCCCTTTCTCTGCCACTTGGACAGGATGACGGGACTGCTTCGTTCCGTCCCCGCTCTGCGCCCTTGCCTCTCTGCGCCACGGTGTCCGTACTTCTAAAATGGGAATAGTGATAACGGCCCTCGTTATAGGATGGTTACGGGTATTGAATAAGGTGAACTATTCATAACGGCCAGAGTTATCTCCGTCTATCTGTGCTGTGAGGCCGACGGCCCTTGTCTCCGCCGGTGGCTGTGAAGATGTCCTCACGGCACGTGGTTGATGACGGAAGTCCCCACAGGGCTCAGTGGGCTGGCTTCAGAGGGAAACGGCCATCGGCGTCACAGCCGCCCTTTGCGAGGATGCCTCGCGGTGGTAAGCCGAGTGGCGGGGAGGGGGACCGATTGCACTGAGGTCACACCGCCAGGCCAGGCCGTGCTGGAGAGAAGCCTCCTCGTCACCTGGCCAACTGTGAGCTGCATTTAGGATGACACAGCTGGTGGCTACGCGTTCATTCTTTCTATGTCCTTTGTGTGGTCAACAGATATGTGTTGAGCACCTACTATGTCCCCAGTTCTGTCCCAGGGCCTGGGGACTTAGCAGCAAAGGAAACGGACAAAGCGTCTCATTCCTCCTGGATTCACATTCTAGAATAAGGCAATAGACACGAAGAGACAGGACAGTTAATCCTCATCGTCCGCAGGTTCCGACTCCCCAGAACAATTTTTGTGGCCGCAGAATCGGTTCTCTTCGCGCTTTTCTGCTTTTCCGGTATTCGCAGACATGCGCAGAGCGGCAAAAAAAAAAAAAAAAAAAAAAAATTGAGTCGCCTGCGGCGAGTGTTCCCAGCTCTGGTCTAACAAGGTGACACTCCCTCTGCCATCTTGTTCCGGGTCTGCAGCAGAGAGATGGCCGGAGGACAGAGACAGGAGCGGGGCGGCACAGGGCAAGGAGCTCCAGCTCCGGGGACGGCTGAGCGGGTTCCAGTTGCGAGGCTGGCACCTCTTCATGGGGCCGCCTCCGACGAGTCACCGCGCACTCCGAACCTCCTTTCAGAATAAATAGCCCGGAGCGTGAGCTGTGTTTAGGATTTAAGATTATAACCTGCGTTAGATACCTGTGTACACACACAGGTACTGTCTTCGTCCGATTGGGCTTCTGTAGCAGAAAATCCCATAGAAGATCTGGCTTAAGTAACAAACATTTATCTCTCTCGGTTCCGGAGCCCGAAAAGTCCAAGGTGAAGGTGCAGGCAGATGCAGTGTCCTCAGGTGGTGGGAGGTGCGAGGGAGCTTTCTGAGGTACCCCGTGCATGAGGGCTCCACCCTGTGACATAATCACCTCTCCTCATCTCTTAGTGACATCGCCTTGGAGGTTAAGATTTCAACGTGTGAACGTTCGAGGGGACACAAACATTCAGTCCATAATAGGTACATATTATCAGAGAGCATCATATGTACATACTTCCCCTGGGAGGGATGGGCCCGGGATCACTGACGTAAGGCGTATGGAGACTTTCCAGGCCGTGACTGCTTTGCCGACTGAGAACTGCCCGCATATCCTAGCTTGGCCGGCGATAAGGAAGGCTTTTCCCTTGTTCTTACTCTGTTATCAGCTCTTTTTCTTCTGAATGTCCATTTTTCTTTCCCTCTAACCTCCTCCCCCCAATTCCTTCTACTTATAGTTGATCCCCGAACAATGCGTGGGCTGAGGGCGCCAACCCCATGCAGTGGAAGATCCACGCATCACTTTCGATTCGCCCAAAACTTTGCTACATTCCCGTGGTACCCGTGGAGGATTGGTTTCAAGATCCCCATGGATACCAAAATCCTCGGATTCGCAAGTCCCTTATATAAAGTGGACTAGAACAATGTATGTGGCTGGCCGTCCACATCCACAGATTCCCAACCGTGGATCAAAAAACACTCTTTTTTTTTTTTTTTTAATGCCTACAGCACCCGGTCTTCCTAGGTGGTCTCCCATCCAAATACTAAACACCGACCCTGCCTAGTTTTTCTGAGATCAGATGAGATTGGGCGTGTTCAGGGCGGAATGGCGATAGACTAAAAAAATCGTCTTGTTTTTGATCAGCATTTGGTTGAATCCGCGGATACGAAACCCTGAAAAAAAGCCTGTTTATAAGTGGACGCACGCAGTTTGAACTTGTGTCATTCAAGGGTCAGCTGTATTTAACAACCACGTCACGGTACTGAGTGCCAGGCGCAAATATTGAAATGTCTGAGCTCAAGAAGAAACGATGTCCTCATTCTGCAGATGAGGACACCGAGGCACGGAGAGGCCAAGCGAGCCCCCCAAGGCCTCGCAGCCGGGCAGCGGCAGGGCTGAGACCGGAATCCAGGCCTTGTCACCTCTAAGACCGGTTTTTTGTTAACTGCCGTGCAACCTCCTGTTTCAGGACCCCTGACCCTCTTGGCTGCCAGCCCCCCAGCCTGGGTCCCCCCGCACCCCTACACCGTCCCTATGCGCCTATTTCCTCTTCCTGTCCTGCCCGCGTCTCTCCCTCATTCTCTCCTCTCTCCGACCCCCACCCTTAGATCCGCCCCCGCAGTGGCGGGAGGAGACTTCTGCCCAGGGCTTCCGGCAGCCCCTGGAGCTGAACCAGCTGAGGACATACACCTTGGCCAAGGTGAAGGCTGGGGCAAGTTACTCGATCTCTCTTCACCTCGCTTTTCTTACCTGTAAAAGAGGGCTCATCATGCTACCTGGTCCACAGGGTTGTTCTGAGAATCGAATGAGATTCAACTAAATACCCGCCAAGCCCTTCGAACATGCCTGGCACAGAGTTTGCTGTCTGTGAGTTATTATTGTTTATCACGAAGCTTGTTCTATCTGTTTCTTGTTTGTCATGAACCTTGTTCCGTCTGTTGCTGGCGGCTGATCCACCTCCTTCGTCACTGATATATGTTGGCAAATGAAGCCTGGGAGAGGTAGAAGGGAAAGGTGAGATTTGAGCTGGACTCTGAGTGGGAGGGCAGGGAGTGGAAAAATAGGGCACAGAGTATTTGACTCACTAAGGAGAGAATGTGCAAAGGCCCTGGGGCAGGAACGACCTGGGAGTATTTTAAGAACAAGAGCACACCCCTCTCCGTCTCCAGCTTAGCGATTGCCAGCATTTCGTTAAAATCGTTCTCTCCCTCGCCTCCTGCCATCTCCTCCTGAGACACCATATCATTTCATCTGTCAGAATTTCATAAATACTACCAACAGATTAGAATGTTTACATTTATTCTGACATCATTTAAGACTAATGAAATATTGCCAGAATAGTACAGAGGGCTCTCGTATACCCAGACTCCCCATTGTTAATATTTGACTACACGTTCTTGATGTTTCTGTCTTTCTCTTCGGGAGGAAGTGGCGGGCGCGATGTCCGTTTACCCCTCGGTACCTGGGCGCGTCTGTCCTGAAAACAAGAACGTTCTCTTCCACAATCCCAGTGAGAGTCACACCGACACCAGAGCCTCAGCTAACCTGGGGACCTTCTTATTCCGATGGCTAGAATTCTTAACATCATCACAGCACCGTGGCCACCCCTGTGTTAGTTGGGAACCCCCAGAAGCAGACCCTAGATGAGGACGGAGTTTGGGGTGTGTAGGGGGTGATCCCAGGAAGTGCCACCCTTGGGGTCAGGGGGCAGTTGTGGACACACAAGGCAGCCAATGGAGGGAGTCACTGAGCAAGTTATCCCTGGGACAAGTGAGACACCGTCCCTAGGCAACTCTGTGAGGCAGGGAGAATCGTGCGCCTCACAGTTATTCCCACCACTGTGCCCATCGCGAGGAAATCTGTTGACGTGAGTAAGTTGCTGCCCTGGTCACCAGCATCACCATCATTATGACCATCATCGTCTTCACCCTCATCACCATCATCACCGTCATCGCCACCGTCATCGCCACCATC